GTTGATTCTGTGAGCAAACATTGGAGACTCTTCTGACATGATGTCATCCTCCTCAGTCCACCAAAACTCAGAAAGAATGGGAATTCACATTGTTATTAGGTTGTCTGAAATATGGCTCCAAACAGAATCACACATGCACCCAATGTCCTGGAGTAGTGGGGTGTATATTGCTTGAAGGGGAATTAGCAGATGGTGGTGTTCTCACATATTTACTGCCCTTGGCCTTCCAGACATAATTAGTTGTGGGTTGGGAAGGTGCTGTGTAAAGAGCCTTAGTGAATTTTTGCAGTGCATCTTCTAGATAGTACACACTGCTGCTACTGAGCATCGGTGGTGGAGGGAGTGAATGTTTGTAGATGTAGTGCCAATCAAATGGGTTGCACTGTCCTGGATGGTGTAAAGCTTCTTGAGCGTTATTGAAGATGCTGTAATCCAGGCAAGTAGAGAGTATTCTTGCACCTTGTATCATCCCGTTCCCTGTGTGTTTTGTACGGAAACTTCACTGGTCTGTGTAGCTGGAGGTATGTGACAGTAGCATTTGATATTAGTTTATTTCCTGTTCCAGTTTCTATGAAATGTAGATAGCTTCATTTCGTAGAATCCCTACAGTGGGAAGGCAGGCCATTCAGCCCATTGAGTCCATACTTACCTTCTGAACAGCATCCTACCCAGATCCACCCCACCCTATCCCAGTAACCCTGCATTTCCCATGGTTAATCCAACTAGCCTGCTCATGGACACTATGGGCAATTTAGCACGGTCAATCCATCTAACCTGCATAGAGTCATAGAGTTATACAGCATGGAAATAGACCCTTTGGTCCAACTTAACCATGCCAACTAGATATCCTAAATTAACATTTGCCAGCATTTGCCCTATATCCCTCTAAACCCTTCCTATTCATGTACCCAACCAGATGGCTTTTAAGTGTTGTAATTGGACCAGTCTCCATCACTTCCTCTGGCTGCTCATTCTATACACACACCACCCTCTGTGTGAAAAACTTGCCCCTTAGGTCCCTTTTAAATCTTTCCCCTCTCACCTTAAACCTATGCCCTCTAGTTTTGGACTCCACTAGCCTGGGGACAAGACCACGGCTATTCAACCTATCTATGCCCCTCATGAATTTATAAACTTCTATAAAGTCACCCCTCAGCCTCCAATGCTCCAGGGAAAATAGCCCCAGCCTATTCAGCCTCTCCCTATAGCTCAAACCCTCCAACCCTAGCAACATGCTTGTAAATCTTTTCCGAGCCCTTTCAAGTTTCACAACGTCCTTCCTATAGCAGGGAGGCCAGAATTGAATGCAGTATTCTAACAGTGGCTTAACCAATGCCCTGTATAGCCACAACATGACCTCCCAACTCCTATATTCAATGCAATGACCAATAAAGGCAAGCATACCAAATGCCTTCTTCACTATCCTGTCTATCTCCAACTCGACTTTCAAGGAACTATGAACCTGCACTTCAAGGTCTCTTTGTTCAGCAACACTCCGCAGGACCTTACCATTAAGTGTATAATTCTACTCTGATTTGCCTTTCCAAAATGCAGCACCTCACATTTATTTAAATTAAATTCGATCTGCCACTCCTTGGCCCATTTGCCCATCTGATCAAGGTCCCGTTGTACTCTGGGTTAACCTTCTTCGCTGTCCACTACACCTCCAGTTTTGGTGTCACCTGCAAACCATACCTCCTAGGTTCACATCCAAATCATTTATATAAACTGACGAAAAGCAGTGGACCCAGCATCAATCCTTGTGGCACACAGCTGGTCACAGGCCTCCAGTCTGAAAAGCAACCCTCCACCAACACTATCTGTCTCCTACCTTTGAGCTAGTTCTGTATCCAAATGGAAGATCTCCCTGTTTTCCATGTAATTGAACCTTGCTAACCAGTCTACCACGTGGAACCTTGTCGAATGCCTTACTGAAGTCCATATAGATCATGTCCACCACTTTGCCTTCAATCATCCCACGCACAAAGCTATGTTGACTATCCCTAAGCAGTCTTTGCCTTTCCAAATACACGTAAGTCCTGTCCCTCAAGATCCCCTCCAACAACTTGCCCACTACCAATGTCAGGCTCACCAGCCTATAGTTCCCTAGCTTTTCTTTACCACCTTTCGTAAATAGTGGCACCACGTTAGCCAACGTCGGGTTGTTCATCACCTTACCTGTGGCTATCAATGATACAAATATCTCAGCCAGGGGCCCAGCAATCTCTTCCCTAGCTTCTCACAGAGTTCTAGGGTACACCTAATCAAGTCCTGGAGGTTTATCCACCTTTATGCATTTTAGGACATCCAGTACCACCTCCTCTGTAATGTGGACATTTTTCAAAATGTGCCTATTTATTTCCCCAAGTTCTCTAGCTTGCATTTCCACTCCACAGTAAATACTGATGCAAAATACTCATTCAAAATCAGATTATCTCCCCCATCTCCTGCGGTTCCACACATGGGCGGCGTTGCTGATCTTTAAGGATCCTTATTCTCTTCATAGTTACCCTTTTGTCCTTAATGTATTTGTAGAATCCTGACATCCTTAACTGTGGGAGTAAACTGAAACACCCAGAGGGAAGCCATGCAGACATGGGGAGAATGTGCAAACTCCACACAGACGGTCGCCTGAGGGTGGATTTGAACCCCAGTCCCTGGCACTGTGAGGCAGCAGTACTAACCACTGAGTTACTGTGCCACTATCATAGACAAGAATGTTGGTAATTAAACACTTTGGGTAAGATATACTCTCAAAGCTTTCATATCAGGAGTCAAGATCATGTGTAGTCTTCAGAGGGAAGAGTTAGTCAGCAGAGGCAGCAGAACCAGGATACTGATGTGATTCATGCTTGTTTTAGAGTTATGGTTTATTTTTACATATCTCAATTGTAAAGTCACTTGTAACTGAATAACGCTGTCTGGACTGTTCATGCAGTCCTTTCACTAGTTCATGTTCTGCAATTCCCAATATGAACACAGCCCGTTTTGGTGGAAACATTCAATAGAACTGACACATCCTGAATACAGCCAGGTCCTGGGCTGAGGGGTTTCTGAGTTGTCGATGTCTCAGATCCAGTGGAGATTTCGGAAAGTTTAGTCACGAAATGGAGGTGTTGGAGGGAGTACCCAAACTTCCACACACCTCAGCTGCCCCACATTCTGAAGGTCAGCCATTGGACTTATCAGGCATTTCTGAACCAATCAAACCAGAAGGAAAACAAATCTTTCCCAAGGGATGGGGAAGGACTGAAGTTTGGGATTAGGAAACATTATTGGATAAATAACTCACGGCACTTCCCAGCAAAATGGACTCTGGGTTTGGAGCGGGATTTATCCTGGGTGTGGAAGCAGATTGATTTCTGATTTGCTAGGGGATTGACTCATTTTTGGAGTGGGACTGACTCTGGATGTGGAGCAAGACTAGTTTCAGGATTGGTCCAAGACTGAATTGGGTCAGGAAGGGGATTAAGTCCAGGTTTGGTACAGGATTGACTCCAAGTTTGGAGTGGGACAGACTCTGGCTTTGGTACATGATTGACTGGAGTTTGGAGTGGGACAAACTGACTTGTGTCATGGAGTCATTGAGTCATACAGCATGGAAACAAACCCTTCGATTCAACTCATCCATGCTGACCAGGTTTCCTAAACTGAACTAGGCCCCATTGCTGTACCCATCCAGGTGGCTTTTAAATGTTGGAATTGTACCAGCCTCCACCACTTCCCCTAGCAGCTTATTTCTTATACACACCACCCTCTGTGTGAAAAAGTTGCCTCTCAGGTCACTTTTAAATCTTTCCTCCCTCATCTTAAACCTATGCCCTCTAGTTATAGACTTCATAACATCGGGAAAAGACCTTGGCTATTCATCTTATCGATGCGTCTTTTATAAATCTCTGTAAGGTCACCCCTCAGTCTGCTACACGGACACAGGGAGACTAGCCTGAGCCTCTCCGTATGACTCAAACCCTCCAGTCTTGGTAACATCCTTGTAAATCTTTTTTGCACCCTTTCCTGTTTAATAACATTCTTCCTACCACAGAGTGACCAGAATTGTACATAGTTCTCCACACGTAGCCTTGACAATATCTTGTAGAACTGCAACATGACATCCCAACTCCTGTTCTCAATGCTCTGACCAATGAAGGCAAGTGTGCCAAATGCCATCTTCACCACCATGTCCACTTGTGACACCATTTTCAAGGAACTATGTACCTGAACCTCTTGGTCTCTCCCTTTGATAACACTCCCCAGGGCCCTACCATTAAATGTACAAGTCTTGCTCTGGTTTGTCTTACCAAAATGCAACACCCCTCTTTTATTTAAATTAAACTCCATCTGCCATTCCTCGGTCCATTGGCCAAGTTAATCAAGATCCCATTGTACTCTTAGGTGACCTTCACGGTCCACTATACCACCAATTTTGGTGTCATCCACAAACTTTCTAACCACGTCTCCTAAATTCTCATCCAGATCGTTTTTTTTAAATGACAAACAACAGTGGACCCAGCATCCATCCTTGTGGTGCACTGCTGGTCACAGGCCTCCAGTCTGAACAACAACTGTCCTGCACCTCACCCTCAGGTCTCCTGTCGTCAAGCCAATTTTGTATCCAATTAGCTAGCTCTCTCTGGATTCCATGTGATCTAACCTTACTAACAAATCTAGCATGTGGAGGCTTGTTGAAGGCCTTGCTAAAGTCCATTGTAGATAACGTTTACTGCTCTGTCTTCATCTATCTTCTTGGTCAGCTCTTCAAAAAACTCAATCAAGTTTGTGAGTCATGATTTCCCACACACAAAGCCAGGCTGACTATCCCTATTCAGTCCTTGCCTTTACACATGCATGTAAAATCATTCTGTCTCTCAGAATCCCTTCCAACAACTTACCTACTACTGATGTCAAACTCATTGGACTGTAGTTTGCTGGCTTTTCTTTGCAGCCTTTCGTAAATGATGGCACAACATTAGCCACCCATCAGTCTGCTGGGTCCTTACTCGTGGCTGTCAATGATACAAACGTCTCTGCTATGGGCCCTGCAATTTCTTCCGTATATTCCGACAATGTTCTGGGATACACTTGACTCCGGGGCAGGGCAGCATTGACTCCAGGTTTAGTGCAGGACTGACTGCGGGTGGGGAGCGGGTTTGACCCCGGGGTTGGGAAGGAAGTGTTGCTGCACAGGATTACTTTGCGCGGAGTAGGTCTGGAGGCGGCGAGGCGGCGGCGGCGGATGGAGGGCGGAGGTGAAGCGGCTCGAGTGAAGTAACAAAGTAACAACCGGCACCGGGACCGGGACCGGGGACACTGTCCGGGGGCGGGGGACCCCACACCCAGACACTGACAGCGACAGCGACTAACTGACCGGGACTGAGTATCTGGGAGACGGGGCCGGAGCTGGGGAGAGTCCAAGGCCCGAAGCCAGCGACCGGGGCCCGGAGCCAAGGAGAGCCCGAGGCCCGGAGCCGAGAGCCCGGGATACATTGGGATACAATCTGCTACTTTCCTGATACATTGTGCTGCATTTTATTGCTTTTCTTCCTTGCGGATACTTTGTTTCTGAGTGGATCCTGATCCCGGTTTGGCCCAAGAGCCGTAATCCCACTGTTCCCCCCCCTCCCCCCCCACCGGGGAGGCGGCGGCCCCGGTTTCAGTTTTGGCCCCGGACCCGGGGATGGGTGTTCACTTCTGGAGACGCCTGTGAACCGTCAGAAGCGGCGGCCCCTAGAGCACTACGAAGGCCGGTTGTCCCGCATTTAGATCTCGGCCGGGAGCGGCGGAAAACTCGGGGGAGATTGCGGAGGAGAAAATGAGAATTGGATAAACTTGGAATCATTGAGAGGAGCCAAATGAGCGTTACACCGTCCGGCCTGAGTGAGAGGTAAGAGAGTTGCTTAAAAAACCCGACTGAAGATAGTTACCTGGGTGATCATTTCTTATTGTGGCCTGTATTAATCTCACTCTGATATTCCTGGGAAGAGCAAGCGGATCGAGAGGATGCAGAGATTCTCGACAGTGGTGCCCGGACTTGTGCTGGAGAAGCTGGGATTGTTCACCTTGGAGCAGGCAAGGTTAAGAGCAGATTTGCCAGAATCTTTCAAAATCATGAAGGATAGGCTAATGTGAGGAAGACAGACCGAGCAAGAGGGTTGCGAATCAGAGGCTTTCAGATTTTTCAGAAAATAACTTGTTTTGGGGGTGGGATGCAATGAAAATTTTATAGTTTTAAATGGGTGATGGAAGCGTATTCAATAACTTTTAAAAGGTAATTGCATGATTCATGAAAAGGAAAAAAATGCAGGATTATGAGGAGGAATATTGGACACCTTGTGAAGAGCTGAACAAGTTTGAAGGGCTGAATGGCATCTGTGTTAAGATAAACTTATCCTAGGAACCAGACAGTAATGGTGACAGGATCAGTAACATTCGCTTTTAGTTTGCTGAATCTATGAGATAATTAATGGTATGTTGGAAGCTATAGTTCACAGTTTCAATTCTTTTTCTACATGGGTATTGGCGAACAGTCAAATCCGAGTGCAGTTAGATAATAATTAATGACAGAGACTAGAATGAAAAACAGTTATAAACCTTGAATGCTAACTATACTGGATCATAGTATAATATGACACTGTTGAGTTTGCTCTTTGGTTTCACATTATATTCCCATCCTTCTATCCCTACCCTGTTACAGTAAGGGATTTGCAGGTGAGGTATTGGGGCCCACTGGAAGAGTTTCTAATTCAGAGCACACATGCTTGATGGAAAATTCCATGGAATCACTGACTCACTGGCAGTATGAGCACTCCACAATTCAGGGATTGGTAAGGAGATAGAGTTTAGCATTGTCCTGAAATGTTGAACAAAAACAAGGTGTGGCTATTTTGATCTGTCAGTCTTGTTGCAGAGTGGAATAATCAACCAGTATACTATGGGAAATGGATCTTTTAGTACTTCCTCGAGTTGGATGAAGTTTGGGATTTCACAAACCAAACTGCTCATAAATAATCAAAATGCTTTTGTGTATCTGTAGAAATTTAGCTGCCTGTCTATTGGGACTTTTGGAGAGATGAATTCATAGGAAAGAGCAAAGTAGTATACTCGCTGCTGGTGTATGTGATTGTAGCTGTTATTTCACTAGATGCCCAGAGTGGAATAGTGCAAAAAATTGGGCAGAATGTGGAGATTTCTGAGGTACATTTAGGGCTGTGACCAATTTGAAGGGGTTTCTGTTATTGATTGTTGGGAATGATTCATAATTTTATTGTATGAAAGAAATGTTTGCATGACATATTGGGACATCTTCAATGTGAAAGACCTAGCTGATGTGAAGAATTTCTGAGTGAGATTCTGGAACAAGAGCAGTTCCATGTGGAATAATATCTGCTTTTGCTTGAAAGCAGCCAATCAGATTGCAAACTTTTGATCAGGAAGCAGTAAAATGGGAACTGATTTTCCAGAGAATGAAACAGCTGATTGAGACCGACCAGACATTATCGGTTTGAAAGTGAAAGGAACATTCCAGCAATTTAAGATGATGGATAAGGGCCACTGAGCTGTTGACTTGGTTGTGTCTTCACACATCAGGAACTGAGTGGTAATCTTTCTGATTGCCTGAAGATACAGGACCCAAACCTGGTTTAATCAAGCCCAGTTCCGTCTGCAATAACCTATCTTTTAGTAGGTGTGTGGATAGAGGATTATAGCAGCCACTGCAACTCAATGGGAGGACATTCCACTTTGTATCAGTGTCCTGAGTCATCACTAGTGACCTCTCTACAGCAGTAGACCCTGCCATTTATTCCCAGTCAGGGCTCTCCTGTGGGATCTGTATCATAGAATTCTACCTTTCAACTCAGTCAGCCCCAGAAGGCACTATTCAGAATGAGTTAAGTTTAAATGATTTGCCCAAAGGTTTACAAGGGTTTATGCTCCAGCAGGGAGTACAGGTCCTGCACTTTAGTCTAAACTCACAACTAAAGTCTTTTTGACATTGTATTCTTCCTATTTGGACAACCGGTCCTTTGGAGTTTTACTGACCACTTGTCACTATGGGGAAAAATTGACAAGAAGTATGATTTACTAGGAACGATGTTGTCTCAACTTTGCCCCAATCAGATGGAATGGATAGACTAATATGTGTTTCTGTAGCATGGCCCTTTATCAGAACTGATGCTATGTGCTTTGCTTTCAATTCAGGGATATTGGAACTTAGTAACCATGATCATGCTGGTTCCTTGGTGCAGAAGATCCCATGGATATCAAACATGAGTGAATAGTCAGTCTATTTCTGGTGGTTGGTTAGAACAGCTGATCGGCAGAATTCCTCAATTCTTTTCCAGTCAGCACCAGGGATCTTTTGCATCCATCAGGCTTTGGCTTAATGTTTTATCCAAAGGTCTACACTTTTGACAGTGCTACACTTCTATAGTGGCAGCCTTGATTAAGTGCCTAAGACCTGGTCCAGGATCTGAGTTCATAGCTTTCTGGTGTTAACAGGGGCAGCAGGGTGGCTAGCACTGCTGCTTTCACAGCACCAGGGATGCGGGTTTGATTCCAGCCTTGGGTGACTGCGTGGGTTACTGCTGGGTGTTCTGGTTTTCTCCCACAGTCCAAAATTGTGCAGGTTATATGGTTTGGCCATGGTAAATGGGAGGTTTTGGGGACAGGATGGGGGTTTGGATCTGGATGGGATGCTCTTTTGGAGGGTCGGTGCAGACACATTGGGCTGATTGGCCTCTTTCTGCACTGTAAGGATTCTTTGAACTGTGTCAGGATGGGAGTACTCTCACCTGAGTCCGAAAGTTCATGGGTTCAAACCTCACTCCAAAAGCTAGAGCTAGTAATGTACCCTGACACACCAGTGCTATTATTGAGAGGGTGCTGCCTATTTGGAAGTGTCATGTTTTAGATGAGATGTTAATTTGAGGCCTTTTACGACCCTCCGGATGGATGTGAAAGATGATGTGATGCCCATTTTGAGAGTGAGTAGGGGTTTCCCCCCAACTCTCTCTGACAACATTTATCCCTGAGCAATGTTTTGGAAGAAATGAAAAAGCAATCTTCTGGATTTACCACTTCCTGTTTATAAGATTTTGCTGAGTGCAAATTGGCTGCTGTCATTCCTCCATAAGCATTTTGTAAGCACCTGAAAAGTGCTAGGTAAGTGCAGGGCTTGCATTCATTCTTCTGTCTGAAGTGAGGGAACGAAAATTGAGCCAACTTAGCTTTTTGATGATCTATAGCAACAATAGTACCCTGCTCCAACTGTTAAATGATTGCTGGATTTTTCCTACACTCTTCTACCTATAATCTTCTGTAGATTGATCAATCATTATTATTTGTTGCCCACTCTGTGTTTGGAGGTGATAATTTGGCATTGCCTTCTCCCTTCAGTTCTTCAGTCAAGTTTTTGTTTCTGTGCCATAAGGATTGCAATTTTACCCTGTGAGGTAATCAGGGCAATTGCTTAGGAAATCAGGAGGTTGGTGTCCAAATTACTGAGCTGCTTCACTAGTTACGTTCCACTGGTGGCCTTGATGAGAAACCCATTTAACCACTTAGGATGGTGTGAAGTTGGTCTAGTCACCCAAAAAAACATCAGAAATACTGAACACATCGTAATACTAGAATTATCTGTGATCTGTTGTTGGTCTTTTGGCGAAACTGTGTGGCTGTGGATCCTGGTCTAGCACGTATTTTGGGAAAGCTGTGGAAAAGTTGTCAGCCTTGAACCGGAGTTGGAGAGGACATTGCAAGTCTGACCAGTATTTGAATCAGGAGCAGTCTTGAGGTGTAACTCAGATAGCATGTTGCACCAACTGACATGCTGAATACAGCAGAGCCACAAGGAGTGGAATTCCCATTTTAAGAGATATGACTAGCCTTTGGAAAAGATTCTTAATTTGTTGTTGAAAGTTGCTATTTGGGATTAAATAGGATTTATGACCAAGAGAGTAGAAGAGGCCGCCGCACTGAATAATCAGCCTAAGAGGGAAGCTACTCATCAAATCAGAGATGGAAGTCGTGAAGTTGTATTAAATCTGTGGAGAGGAACCAACAATTATCAACCTATTTCTCTCCTCTGGTTCGCTGCCTTCATGATTTATCATCATCAGAAGAGTTTGTGCTAAACAGCAGTTATTTTGAATTCTAAATCTGGCGCTGGTCTGGTCACCCCTCCTAGTCTGGAAATGACGCCCTATTCAGTCCAGGTTGTGTTGACTGCTGGCTTGGAAAGTTTTAAGTTTTGCTTCTTGGTGTGAAATTCACTGTTTAATCAACTCAGAAGTAAGTCAGTTGACTCTCTCTCTGACTGGATGAATATTTACTGTAGTCCCTCAATCTTCCTTTCCTTTCATTGTGTCACTTCAGCCTGAGTTTTGTATTTCTTGTGTTTTGAGATGTTCAAAGCACGTGGTGAACAATATAACCCGAGTGGTTTCCGGAGGGGAAGTCGTTGAGATTTATTTTGAGGTTGATGAACCCACAGTGTGATGTGAGACACTGCAACATTCTCCATCACACAAACAGCTCATCCTTTGTTTGCTGCTTTAGGATGTAGCAGATATGAGGCTGATATCGTTTGACTTCCACCTCATTGGCTTGGTTTTGTTGCAATCCATCCTGACTTTGAAAGGTAAAGTGCTTCACTGAAAGCAGTTTAATTTGTTGTGATGTGGGAAGTTGAGCAATGATCAGAGTTTCAACAAACCGTCAACAGCTGAGTCTTGTTGCTGTCCCAAGCACACATTCTCTACTGAACCGCTGATAGAGTCCAACTGCATTCATTTCCTGTCATAGCAGCCAACAAGTTGGCAGAATCATGGCCTTGTGTTGGCCAGTGACTGCAGTCAATTTAATTTACCATCCTGTGGGTCTTTA